GCGTCTTGGAGGACATAGGCGCCAGGATGTGGCACTTCGGCCACGGCATAAGGGCCTTCCCAATTTGGGGCAAGTTTGCCAAAACGAGTTTCAAACCCCATTAGGCCAACTTTTCTGAGAACCAGGTCTCCTACTTTGAATGTTCGAGGGTGAACTCATTTATTGTAGAAGTTGGCTAGTTTCTGCTTGTATACAAGAGTTCGAAGCCGAGCTTCTTCTCTGACTTCAGTAAGCAGATCAAGGTTTTCCCGAAGCAGTTGTCCATTTCGTCCTTCATCGAAATGGGTAACCCGGAGGCTTGGGACTCCTATTTCAACAGGAATGACTGCTTCGGTACCAAAGGCCAAGTGGTAGGATGTTTCACCTATTTCAGTTGATTATAACTTTAGAATGCGCTTTATGCATTATGCATATTTGCTCTAAGGTAAAGCATAACAGAAGAAGGAAAATAATATAGAAATTAATCAAATAAACTCAGTTTAAAGTAGTACCTGTGGCAGTTCGGCTCGTGGTTCTGTATGCCTAGAGGACGTTGTTGAGCTCGTCTACCCACTTGGCCTTATGTTGTTCCAATCTCGGCTTTATACCTTCTAAAATGCATTTGTTAACAGATTCAACCATGCCATTGGACTCCGGATGGTAGACGGAGGTGAATTGTAATTTGATCCCATAACTGGAACAGAAATCTCGGAATGAAGAGCAATTGAATTGAGTTCCATTATCAGCCACAATCTGATTCGGGATCCCATATCTGCAGATGATCAAGTTGAAAACAAAACCTTCGACTTTCTCAGAGGTAAGACTAGATAAAGGCCGAGCTTCTACCCACTTTGTGAAATAATCCACACCAACAACCAGATGGGTTATACCACCAACCCCTTTCACGAATGGGCCTAAAAGATCCAATCCCCACTGAGCAAATGGCCACGGTGCTACCATGTTCGTGAGTTCTTCTGCCGGTTGGTGAGTCAGATGTGCGAAGAATTGACATTTCAAGCATTTCTGAACAAAGTAAGTGGCATCTTTATGCATGTTTGGCCAGTAATATCCTTGCCTTAAGACTTTGTGAGCCAGAGTCCTAGCACCGACATGGCTCCCATAGACACCTTCATGCACCTCTCGAAGTGCATATTCAGCTTCATAGGGGTTTAAACACCGTACAAGAGGAAGTGAGAAAGATCTCTTATACAGGACCCCATCAACGAGAGTATACCGAGATGCTTTCTTTCTCAACTTCATTGCCTCCTGCCTATCTTCAAGTACTATCCCATCTCGCAAAAAGGAGACGATTGAATCAGTCCAGCTCAGCGTGTTTGGGTTTGTGCTAATCTCCATCACCCGAGGCTTTATGAAGCTTGGTTCATCTAAGATCTCTACAAAAACGGATCTGGAACTTAAAGAGCTATCAGAGGAAAACTTGGAGAGTGAATATGCCTGTTCATTCTCAGCTCGGGGGATTTTACTCAGACAGAATTTCTGGAATTTGCACTTCAGCTCGGCCACCAAGGCTACATACTTCACCATCACAGGATCAACAACTTCACAGATAGAGTTGATTTGGTTTACCACCAGTTGGGAATCACTGTACACTTGAATTGCATTGATTTTCAGCTCCAACGCTAGTTGTAAACCAAGTAGTAGAGCTTCATACTCAGCCATGTTATTTGTCGCATCAAAGTTAAACTTCAGGGCATGTTCACTTCGGTATCCCTCTGGACCAATCAATCGAGCGCCGGCCCCTGAACCCTTGCTACTAGATGCTCCATCAACATATAAGGTCCAATCGTTGGGCTCTGGATTAGAGGTTGAAGGACATGGAGTACATTCGACAATGAAATCTACTAATGCTTGGGCTCGGATGGCCGATCTCTGCTGGAACGTTATCTCAAACTCTCCTAGTTCTACTGCCCACTTAATTAATCTTCCGAAACATTCTGGTTTCTGCAGAATCTGCGCGAGAGGTTGATCTGTGAGAACGATGATTGGGTGTGACTGGAAATATGGCCTCAATTTCCTTGCCGAAGTGACAACTACTAGTGCTACTTTCTCCGCTATAGGTTATCTCAGCTCTGCTCCGTGTAATACACTGCTGATATAATAGATTGGTTTCTGTTGCTTGGCTTCCTCTCTCAACAGAACTGAACTAATGGCCTCATCTAAAATCCCCAGGTACAAGTAAAGAATCTCTCCATCGACAGCCTTAGTCAGTAGAGGTGGTGAGCTAAGATAAGACTTCAGCTCGTCGAATGCAGCCTGGCACTCCTGACTCCATTCAAATTTCTTCTGTTTTCCTGATTCATCCTTCTGGGCAGCCGACCACATGATCTTGAAGAATGGCAGGCACTTATCTGCTGACTTCGATATGAATCGATGAAGAGCTGCCACTCTTCCAGTCAACCTCTATATATCTTTTACTGATTTCGATGGTTCCATCTCGGCAATTGCTCTGATTTTTTCTAGATTAACCTCAATCCCTCTTCGGGACACCATGAAACCTAGAAACTTTCCAGACTCCACGCCGAAAATACATTTGGCTAGGTTCAAGCGCATCCTGTTCTTTCTGAGGTTGTTGAAGGTTGGTTAAATACCCTTTTTGGTCCCTCTACTATAGGAAAAAGCCCCTTTTTAGTCCTTATACCGAAAAAATCCCCTTTTTGGTCCCTAAAGTTTGAAATCCGGCCCCTTTTTGGTCCCTCTGTTAAATTTTGGCTGATATGGCAAGTTAATTAACGGAAAACCTTTTTTTTCTTCTTTACTTAAATTGTGTGGAAAATCCATCTGGCAAAATTTGATGACGTGGCCAATTTTTTTACATAATTGCCATTACAAATATTTTAAAGGTTATTTTGTGGTTAAAGGTACTTAATTTTAATTACGTATTTGCCCTTGTCTTCTTCCTCATTCTATCTTATTCTCTCCTTCCTCCAACCTCCATTTTTTTTTTTTTTACCTTTGCCTTATGGAAATCAGATTTGGAAAGGTGAACCCAAGTGCCTGGGTTCGCTGGGTTCGTCGCGATTCCAAGCATAAGTTCATCGCGAACCTAGGCAATGGAGTGAGGAAACGACTAGAGCAATGCTTGAGGAGGAAAGGAGTGGTGGGTGACTGCAATGTCATAGGGTGTTCCTTCGATCTTTGAAATTCCTTGTAAAAGGCTGGATCTGGAGGCTCAATCTCCGCTCTGAACACCATGGAAGTCGCAAACCCTAAGAACGCAAGCGGGACAACTCCATCGCACTCGACGGTGACAACGACCTTTCTCTCTTGGAAGCCATTAAGAAATCTTAGAGCACCGTCGATGTGCTAGACATCTGCACCCTCAAAAAACTAGTCTTTTCTTTCAAGCGTCAATTCAGAAAGAACATCAAGGCTTGCGTCAAGTACCAAAACCAATTGGAGCACTTTGCAGACTCCAAGGTAAACCTCCATGACGACCTCCGAAAGCTCAAGATCCTCGCTGAAGCCCTCGAGCTATACCCCAACCTTGTCAATCTGAACACCATCCCTTCTATACTCAATCTTTTGTTGCCTAGGTTCGCGATGAACCCCATGCTTGGAATCGCGACAAACCCAACGAACCCAGGCACTTGGGTTCGCCTTTCCAAATCTAATTTCCATAAGGCAAAGGTAAAAAAAATAAAAAATAATAAAGGTTGGAGGAAGGAGAGAATAAGATAGAACGAGGAAGAAGACAAGGGCAAATACGTAATTAAAATTAAGTACCTTTAACCACAAAATAACCTTTAAAATATTTGTAATGGCAATTATGTAAAAAAATTGGCCACGTCATCAAATTTTTCCAGATGGATTTTCCACACAATTTCCGTTAATTAACTTGCCACATCAGCCAAAATTTAACGGAGGGACCAAAAAGGGGCCGGATTTCAAACTTTAAAGACCAAAAAAGGGATTTTTTCAGTATAAGGACTAAAAAGGGGCTTTTTCCTATAGTAGAGGGACCAAAAAGGGTATTTAACCTTGAAGGTTTCATCGAGATCGGTTAGATGGTCTTCTGCTTTCCGGCTCTTTACTACGATGTCATCGACATACACCTCCAGATTTTTGCCGATCTGAGCTCGGAAGACGATGGTCACCATTTTTTGATAAGTAGCACTAGCGTTCTTTAAGCCAAACGACATCATGACATAGCAATAAATTTCATCGCCAGCATAGAACGAGGTTTTCTCTTCATCTTCAGGAGCCATCGGCACCTGGTGATACCCAGAATATGCATCCAAGAGGCTTAACCTCTCATTGCCTGAAGCCGCTTCAACTAATCTGTTAATGCTCGGCATCGGGTAACAATCCTTAGGGCAGGCGTGGTTGAGATTTGTGTAATCGATACACATTCACCATTTACCGTTTGCCTTCTTCACCAGGACTGGGTTAGCCACCCATTCGCAGTAATCAACTTTCCTGACGAAACCAGCTTGTAGGAGTTTCTCTACCTCCTCTTTAATAGCCTGAAGTCTCTCCCCCCCGAAGAGACGCCTCTTCTGGGCCACTGGTTTCTTCAATGGATTGGTGCTGAGCTTATGTTGAGACACTGATTTTGGAATTCCTTGCATATCTGCCGAAGTCCATGCGAATACATCATTGTTAGCTCGGAGAAAAGCTATCAGCTCAGCTCTCTCTTGCGGGTTCAATCTAGTTCCGATTTGCGTCTTTCGGCTCGGATCTCTGTCATCAATGAGCACTTCTTCAACATCTTCGACCAGAGCAGCTCTGGTTTCATCGTCCGGTCAATTATCGACGATCTCTACACCCATAACTTGCTGATTATCAGGAATTCGCTGAGGAATGGCCTCGGGTGTTTGATCTTTGCCCTTCGTTGGTTGTGTTACTGAGGTGATATAACAATGTTTGGCCACCTCCTGGTTTCCTCGCAGTGTTGCTATTCCTATAGGAGTTGGGAACTTCATACAGAGGTGAGACTGGGAAACCACAGCTCGGATTTCAGTCAGTGTGGGTCGGCCAATAACAATGTTGAAAGAGGACGCCATTTTGGACTACGAGGAACTGGACTGAAGGGGTTACATAGGTCCGGCCACTCCCAAAAGCCACATGGAGGGTAAGAACTCCTTCCACCGGAACAGGTTGGTTGTTGAAGCCATAAATAGGACCATCATATTTCTGCAACAACGTTGGATCCAACCCAAGACTCTCGAAACAATGGAAGTACATGATATCTGGTGTACTTCCGGTATCAATAAGGACACGCTGTACTTCACAGTTGTTAATTGTGACAGAAGTGACCAAGGGATCATTGTGGGGTGTAACAACTGTATCAAGATCAGCAAATGTGAAAGTAATGGGTTGAGTTTTCCACTCAGCATCGTCAATCTTCCGCTTCTGAGCTTGGTTCTGATGCTTAACCTCTTTAACATACAGCTTTCGCTGTTTAGAGCTCAGCCCCCCTACTTCAAGGCCTCCCGTAATCATGTGTATGATTCTAGCTGGTGGTGGGAGCGGAGGTGGGGCTTGCTGATATCCCACACCTTGTCTATTTGGGGGATTGCGGGCTCCTTAAGGCTGCGGCCTCTGCTCTCTGACAAACCTAGGTTGTTCAGCTCTCTGAACATACTCATTCAGCATTCCTTTCTGAGCTAAACTTTCTAGTTCGGACCTTAAACTGTTACACTGCTCTGTAGTATAGCCGTGATCTTGGTGAAAATCACAATATCTGGTATGGTCTCGACTAGCAGCAGCAGTTCGCATTGGGTCAGGACGTCTCAAGTCCATTTTGTTCTTAATCTGCATAAAAATCTGTGACATCGGCAGATTAAAGGGAGTCCAATTAACTGGAGATTTACCTGCAGATTGTTGCAGGGGTATTGAGTTCGGCTTTTCGACTCTCGTTGGGGAGGTCAACATCGGACCTCGGTTCTGCGCCATCCTCATCCTTTTCCTGCTTGAGTTGTCATCTCTCCAATCTGGGTTCTGGTTCTTAGAGGAAGGTGGGTTTTGTGCCAGGGCGTATTCCTCAACAGTTATAAATTTGAGAGACCTATCATTCACCTCGCTAAAGGTGGTGGCAGCATGTTTGATTAAACTGTCTCTGAATCTGTCATGCTTGAGACCAGAAATCACAGCTGCAATTCCCACAGCTTGATCAAAGGAACTAACCTCTAAAACTGCATCATTGAACCTGCTCATATAGTTCTTTAGAGATTCTCCATCCCTCTGTTTAACTCGCATCAGCTCAGAAGTAGTTTTCCTAATCAACCTTCTATTGGAAAACTTAGTGGCAAAGGCAGATGCCATTTCTGTATAAGAGCTAATTGACCTCGGAGGTAAACTGTAATACCAAGTTCGGGCATTACCTCGGAGAGTAGAGGGGAAGATCTTGCACATCAACGCGTCAGAGGCGTTCTGAGCTTGCATGCAAGAGTACAAAGCATGCAAATGATCATCGGGATCCTTCGTCCCGTCATAAGTCTCCAGTTGTGGTATTTTGAAGCCAGCAGGATAGGGTTCCAGTGTAATGTTGGTATTCAGAGGGTGAGGTATAGAATCAACAGCATGGTGTGGTGGTGGAGCACCTCGGTGTTCAGCCACTAGCTTTTCCAAGCTATCGAGGCGGCGAGTAACATCATCAGGGATGGGTTGTTGAGCAGGTGCTATATGAGATTGACCCTAAGATTCGCTAATAGCGGGAGCAGGTTGAACCGGTTGAGGATTCTGTTGTGGAGCTGGGGGTTGTTGAGTAGGGTTCAGTAAATTAATGAGGGGGTCACCAGGATTGCTTTTGGCTAAAAGCTGAGCCAGTACCAACTGAAAAACACTGAACTGTTGCTGCATGACAGCAAGCTGAGCTGTCACTATGTCTTGGTTGGCAGTGGAAGTTGAATTGTGAGCTGAGGCATGAGGTTGGTTTTCATCTCCTCCTTTTGCATGATCAACAGGAGGGAACACAATTGGGACTTGAGGTGGAAGCTAAGGTGTAGGTTGAGGTGGGAATTGAGGTGGGATCAGAGGTGGAAGGTTGTTGGAGGGTTGACCTTGCCCAAGAGGCAGAGATGAGTTACCAGCTCGAATTGATCGAGTGTGAACCATGATGGAAGAGCAACTAGAAAGCTTTCAGTTCGATTCCCACAGACGGCGCCAATGTAATTGCACCAAACCAAAAGTCCTTCTTCAATCCGTGATTGCACTCCGGGAAAACCTGCAAAGCCCCGAGGTGGAACTCGGGGTAAACACTCCGATGCTTAAGTCAGCAATAATTGGGGCTCCCTTTAGAGCGGAGATAAAAAGAGCTTAGGGTTGGTTTCAATTACCTTTCTGAGGTGGCCCCTAGGGGTATTTATAGGCCTTTGTGAGGTATCCACGTGGCTTGCTTAGCAGGACAATCGGAGCCTGACGTGTCTATCCAGACGATTATTTCGGGACCGAGAATTTGAGAGATATTCAGATGCACAGATGTCCACCATACTTGTTGTGCCACTCGTCATAAGGAATCAGGTGCGGGCATGCTTATTGTCATTGTCATGCAGCTATTTGAGCAGGGAGCTTTGGATTCATTTCTCACTTCGGTCATAAAGGAATTACTGTAGCAGTCCGAGGCTTGGCACCTCGGACCTGTCCTTACACGTTCACACACGAGTTCTTAGCATAGTTGTAGTTAGGCTTCTCACCGGTCCACATTTTCACGGCGTCGACGCCACGAAGGTCAGGGTAGCCCGCAGCGAGGTTCTCCCCATACCATAGGGGCCATCACAATGCACCATGTTGCAGTCTCGAATCCTTTTCTTGGCGTATTTTTGAGCATAGGCTGCCACTGTAGTGTTCCAGGTCATTGGACTCACCCCAACCTTGGCTCGAACCGCGTTGTGGGCTCGAACGTAGTCTTGAGGGGAGTTTTGAGAGAGAGAGGTGGGCTAACAGGGTGAGACCCACGAAGAAAACGGCTAACAAGAACTTATCGAACTTCATTTTCCACCGCCCTAGAACTGAAGTTTTGATGGTTTTTGATATAATGAACCAAAATGTGTGAGGTATTTATAGACAATTTAAATAATTATAAATATGCAAGTTGCATTAGTTCTCTTCGTATATATGCATGACATTTCATCTACATTATTAAGATTCATAATTGATTTTATAACTTGCCTCAATATTATTTAAGAAAAAAAAATTATTATTAATGGTATGAAAATATAAGGCTCAACTACTACTAATAATTAGACAATACAAAAAAATTCCTCAATCATAATGGTTTTTTTAGTGCAAATTATTCGAACAGAAAACGTCACAAGAGTGTTTTTTTTTTTTTTTGGTAGTGAGAGTTTTATAAACTTTTGAAAACTTATAAGCTTTAAATTAAAAAGTTATTAAGATAATTTAGACATTTTAATTAGCCATGATTAGAGAACTTGCATCCAAAGCCACCATATTAGGGGCACCTTTCCGCAGATTCTGCTATGAATATCCTCAATTTGACTTGAGGAAAAAGGAAAAGTAAAGGGTAACAGAGTCCCTCGAATTTGATGCAAATAATTAATAACAAGTGATGATCGACGCTACAGATTAGAAGTTAGAAGATACAGAGAATGAATGTTGATCCCCAATTAATATATAACTCTAATTACTATACTTAATTTCTAAACAAGAATTTTCAGCATCTCTAATCGCGCGACTACCGCCTACATTATGCAAAGGAGTGATTCCTACTTGGCACTTGGGCCTTCATGTCCAATGACGTCAAGCTGCATTTAAAATGTATCTTCTTTCTCTCAAATAACTGTTCAAATCCGATCTTTGTAAATTTATTCAAAAAAAAGTGATTTCAACTTCTCCTTTTTTCCCCTTTAGTTCTTTTGACTTTTTAAAAGCTTTTTTATTCCATTCTCAACTTCCATTTGTAATCTGCAGTTTATTCTTTTTCTTTTCTTTTCTTTTTAAAAAAATTCTAGGTTGCGCCAATTCTCTCTTACGTCTTTTACCTGAAAATGTGCAAATAAAAATTTTATTACATTTTCTATCTTAGTATATAAATTTTTAGATTTCTAAAATAGGCCATAAATTTTCATTTTTTTCTAAATAAAAATGTGGTTTTTACGGTTTTTTTTTAAAGAATATAAATTTTGCTCTATTTCTATTTAAAGATGATGATGATATGATAAACGATAATTTTAATTAAAATAGGCTCAAATTTGAATTCTTAAATGAAAAAAAGCAAAGTATATATCTCTAAATAGAAAAAAAAGTGAAAGTTTATAACTTGATTTAAAAATAAAAAAATATTTCTATCTTTAAATAAAAAAATAACAATGTTCTATTATCATCTAAATATTTTTCTCGTCTTTTTATTCACCACACCTGATAGTTAGAGGATGCTTAGATTCATGAAAATGAAATTTATTTACCATTTGGGTGAGAAACAAAAAATCATAGACGCATTCTACAGAATGGAATCATGGCCTCATTTCTTTTCTTTTTTTTTTTTTCTTTTGAAAAATGAAAATTAGGGAAAAAGACACACTTTGGTTGTCAATTTTCTGGTGTTGGTGAAAATTAGTTTAATTTTTCTACTTCAGCTTTTATAACTTCTAGAATGAGTTTATTTCTATGTTCCCATTCTTGGGTGATGAATTTGAATTTCTCACCTTCAACAACAAAGAGAAATTTAGAGGGGGAATGAAGAAAAAATTAATCAACGAAGACAAATCTGCAGTGGGCTAACTAAAACCCAATTCGCAAAAGGGTTTGAAATTCTAGTCTAGGCCCATCCCTACTTCTGTTTTTCTTTTGGGCCAGCAGCCGACTCCGCCCCTTCCTTTTCGCAGGCTAATCATTTTGCTGATTGGATTGGCCAGAACGCCCAGAAATATGTCGAAGGGTGTGCTACCTTTCCATTGGGCTCATTCACTCTAATAGAG